CACCCACCCACCCAATATTTCTACACACACAAATTCCATACCGTTAATGTATCTTCAAGCTTTCTTGTGGCAGCAAGCAATTTCTTCTCATCAACAAATGGCAGCTTGGCAACACCCTGAAAAGTACCCCAAGAAGTGGTTAAAAAAAAAACCTTCAACTCCCACTTCATTCTAAAGCATTCCTAATTTGTAAAAACACTATAATACAATACCTGCCATGCAAATCGTTTGCCATTCATATCAATCTCAAAATCTGTCAGGTATCATTGTAATATCAGAACACAAGAATATGTAAAACATAACAGAATAAATAATTAATAGTCAAATTATCTCACCAGCAGGGTAGAAGTGAAAAATAGGTGATGAAGGATCAGTCATCAAATCCCCATATTTTTTAGGCAGTGCACTTGAACTGTAACAAGAAATAAGTAAGTTGAATAGAAAGCATGATATGATAATTAAACCACGTTAATGAAGAAACCTTGAAGCGGGTAGGGTGCCCATGAGCTGATCAAATGGTTTAAATGGCTCGCCAGGGGAGAAATTTATTTCCAGATCAGGTAGATCTTTAAGATCAGAAGCAAATGGAGCATAATGATATGGGTAATACCTGAAGAAACAATAAAAGTAAATAGTAAGCAGATTCATTGAAAGGTAGTCATGGACTCATGGGTGATAATTCACCTAAAACAAAAGGAACACTCTTAGCAATTCACGTCAATTATCTAAAAGCAGATCAGACTCATCAAGGCATCCAGTCTATATTATGTTTAATTAAATTGTTTTTAAAATCACAATGATAAGGTCCTGCCAGCTATCATCTTTGGGACAAAAACAGAGTTTAATGAAACTATAAGTCCAGAGGAGTAGCATTGAAGTTCAGAGAGTAGAAAGATGTGGGACCTGGAAATTTTGCCAAAAGAAGAACAGATGTGGAGAATGGACAAATACATTCATCAAGCTACAACCAATTAATAAAATACAATTATGAAAGAAAAAAAAAAAAGAAATCCATTATTTTCAAGTGTTATAATCTTTCAAATGAATAATCATCTTAATACATTATCCTAGGATTAATTCAAGCAAACAATAATAATAATGACAAAACATCATGACAAACAGCTTTCTAGCCTTATGACAGGTCCAAGTTGTTAGGAATAATTTCAGGGAGCATCAAAAAGGGGGGAAACCTCTACAGGTTTATTATAGAAAGAAAAAAGGAAAGGGTCAAATTGTAACTGAGTTGACTGGGTCAAGTTATGTTAGTTAAATCTGTTAGTCTATTGTAAATCCTTTAAATAATAAACTTGTAGAGGTTTTCCCCCTTTTTGATGCTTCCTGAAATCATTCATAACACAAGTACTTGCATTTAATTTCCTGAGAGATCAACAGTGAGATAACTTTATGCTCTCAGCCTCAGTATAGTAGTTGTTTTCATCAAAAGTTGTTAGTTGTTACTAACAATATATCATATTCATGTAAGCATACCAACTTATCAAGTCAATCACAGAAAAAAATAATAAACAAAAATGACCTAAAACTAATAAATAAAAAATTATCACTGACCATTTCCATGAGCAGACACCCTGGTAATAATACCGGCAAACCCAACAAAGGCCTTCCACATATTTCAAGACCTACAAGACAACAAAGACAATGGGCTGAATTCTAATTCTAATGTAAAGCATACTTAGCCAATAGCTATGAGAAATTAAGGAGGATGAGTAGGATAGTTATCACATTAAAGCAAAATATTCTGAATCAACAAATCCATATATCACTGTTAAGAATGCACACAATGTCTACTTTAAGCCCAACATTATGTTCTGAAATATTTATGAAATAAAAAGCTATTCTTTGGTGTATCATTGAATTTGATTTACGCCAGTATCAATAGATCTAAACCCATACAAAGAAAACATACAGTTAGAGGGCATAAGCAGATTCCCTTCCTCATTTGGAACACAGGCAGAGGGTACAGTGCCAAATAGTTCAAGAATCTAGACCATCTAACCACATCAGTTTAAAAGAAAAAAGTAGAAATTTTTGTATGCTTTCCATTCCGAGTCAGAATGAATATAAAAGGAAACTATTGGCATTTAAAAGAATGAATCACACACAGGCGTGTTGTGTATTAGATTTGAACATAAAAGCATATCATGTTATCCAAGAACTGCAAAAAATTTACAAGATTAATTAGTGTTAGGTCATACAAATTAATAGAACTTACAATATCTTTCTTGATTTTATCAATCTCCTTTGCATTTGATACACCAAACTTTTCAACATAATACCTTTCCTTGTACCCAGGCTCCCCTAATTTAACCTGAGAAAATAAGAACATTCAGTTCTAAAATTTGGTCAGTAATTCTAGATCACTTATTAGATTTAATCTCCAACAATGGCCTAGCTTCATGTTTGAGAACACCATTGGAGTTACTTCATTAGATTCTGTTCTACACTTAGTGCGTGTTTGAGAACACCATTAGAAATACTTCCACAGTGCCGAAAAGAAATTCTGGTGGAGTTCCAAAACATATTGTACAAAGTCAACACACAAATGCTATATTTAGCAAAGAAAAATGCAGAAAATAATCTGGCAACATATCTTAATAAAGAACCTTATCCATAAGTGAGGCTCGTGGCTGCCCAGGCATTTCTCCTCTTGCCCTTGCTCTCATCTCTTCATTATTTTCTGCAAGCTGTAAATATAATCACAAGAATTACATACCAGGAAGTAACCTATAAAAACAAATTAAAGAAACATATAGCTAAGGAATATCAGTTCATGCAATTAGTTAGAAAGCAGAATACCAGCTGTATGCGAACTCGTTTCTGAAATATTTGATCTTCATGAACAGTAATAAACTGGATAAATCGTTCCACTCTATCTAAGAAAACCTGCGACATATAAAGAACCCACATTGCATCACTCATTGAAAACGAAGGAATTCCAGATTGATGAATTAAGTTATATTCAAAGCACAAAACAAGCAACTGAAGAAGTAAATAGGATTGCCGGAGAAGACTGCATCATGTCCAAGAACAAATTACAACCTTATAACATGCTAACAAACAAAAAAGATTATATAAATTAGTTTGATTACAGGAAAAAAAAAATACCTCAACTGAACTATTCATGAACTGCTTCTAAACTGTGCCTAAACCGTGCCACCAGTTTATGAACTGTTTATGAACTATACCAAAATCTGCTACTTTTACACACATGTCTTCCCCCAGAAGGAGATTCTCTGATTTCTCCTCTTACCCTTGCTCTCATCTCTTCATTATTTTCTGCAAGCTGTAAATATAATCACAAGAATTACATACCAGGAAGTAACCTATAAAAACAAATTAAAGAAACATATAGCTAAGGAATATCAGTTCATGCAATTAGTTAGAAAGCAGAATACCAGCTGTATGCGAACTCGTTTCTGAAATATTTGATCTTCATGAACAGTAATAAACTGGATAAATCGTTCCACTCTATCTAAGAAAACCTGCGACATATAAAGAACCCACATTGCATCACTCATTGAAAACGAAGGAATTCCAGATTGATGAATTAAGTTATATTCAAAGCACAAAACAAGCAACTGAAGAAGTAAATAGGATTGCCGGAGAAGACTGCATCATGTCCAAGAACAAATTACAACCTTATAACATGCTAACAAACAAAAAAGATTATATAAATTAGTTTGATTACAGGAAAAAAAAAATACCTCTCCAGCGTCAGTAAGATAGCCACCTATGGCAGTAAATTCCTTTCTATATACATGCATCAATAAATTTATAGCCCCCTGAAATAGTAGAAAGTTTATTAAAGATAATAGCACTGACAAATAAATAGAAAGACAAATATGCAGTGAGACACAAGCACATAATTATAACCTAATCATGTTAAATTCCCACATCCCAAATATAGTAGTAACAATATGCAGATGGCAATTCCAAATTTTCTGTTTCAAGATACAGCTCAGTGTAACATGGAGCATTCTAGATGCTTACCTCCCTGATCTCTAATGTTGGCATATGTGGAAGAAAATCGTTGCCAACAAAGAAGCATAGAAATACAAAATCGTCCACAACTCGTTCAAAGTCAATCTCAAAAGGAGGGTTTGGTATCTCCAATTCAAATTGCAAATATTCACGCAGCACCCAGATATTTAGAAACTGTGAATATTATGAATTAGTTTAAAATTAAGAGAGAGAAAAAAAAGCAAAAGCAAAAGAAAAATAAAGATTCAGATCAACATGATGGACTATAATTCTCCAACCTGATATTTCTTCTTGTAAATTGGGCTATCATCAGGAGTATTGAAGTCCTCAGCTTGACAATCAGCTGCAAAATGGCCAACTTGGCCGCACAAAAAACACTTATCCTGTTGTCCAGGTAAAGTAATTACCTGTTCATGCATTAAGTAATCATTTGAGACAATCCATAGAAATCAATTAGCTAACAATATCATCAAAATATTCAGACATTGGAAACTAACCTCCCTCAATATCGAGAAGTGAACCTCATGTGTAGCTAAGGAGAGCATAATTAGATCAGCATCCTGGTTTAAGGATCATAGTGTGCAAAAATCAAGGAAAGGATAAAGACAACAAAAGCAGATAAGATGAGAGTTCAAAAACAGGACAAAAACTCACCAAACCATACAAACAATGTCGAGTATTTGGATTGAAACCAGGAAGGTTGCGTTGTAACCGGATGTATTCCATTATTTTATGTTCTCCTTCACCAGGCACATTTGAATCAGAAAGTATAACCTTCAAATAATTAATCACCCAATGCAGCCCCATAAATAAATATATAGAGACAAAGTATCCTGAAAACCAGATGTATAAAGAAAAAAATAGACGGGATTACTCCACAGAAAGGAATCATCCAATCTTGAAGGCATCAAGTGGCATAAAGAATTAATTGGGTGAAGTGTCAATTGCACCTTTGTATTCCGCCAACTAGGGTTGTGGTTCAATCTAGTCTGTATATAATACTGGAGAGCCACCGAAAGTGCTGCCATAAATTGAGTTCCAGGGGTAATGACATTTGAGTCTGAAGTCTCAGGCTTGTCTTTAGAAGACAAAATTTTTCCCTCACTCTCAAATTCTTTCCTTAGCCTTTCCTCTTCTGCTTCCTATGATGTTACACATAAGCACAGTAACTCAAACTTCATCACAAAAAAAGTAGTAGTCCCTTGTAAGCATGAGGATATTAAGTATTAACATGAACATTCTTACAGCATCAGCCGCTTCTTTTGCAGCTCGGAATCGCCGAGAACGTTGCTGATTCATTTTGGCTCTTGGTGCAACACCATCTGCAAATTTGAAAGTAAGGAGACAAGAGGAAAAATTTGAAGGGGTATGAAAAGTACACGTAAAAAGAAACAGACGAAATGAGAAAGTAATTTGAATTAAGAACAAAAGCCGGGAACTATCAGTTTGAAAATTAAATGCTAAAAAGTAAGACTCTTAACATTGCAGACAGACAGAAAGATTGTAGCTTGAGGAAAATTGGTTATATGTAAGTTTTCATTTCCCAGGCTCAGAGTTCTAATGTGGCTGACCATGTTATGGTAAGCAAATGTCTTGACCTTAATCTTACACACTTATTTAAACAGTTACATTCTAGAGCTTTTGAGCCTTTTCCTATTTTAAATTATCTTATTCTAGCTTAGAATAGGAATACCTTATTAGGATATTTGGCTTCATAGGGTCAATAGATATAGATAATCTTTTGATTATTACATGATATTGAGTTTTCTTAATTTATAAAAAGTGAATTTAAGTCAAAGGAGCACTCCTTCCGAGAGGAATACTCTAGGGTTGTTTCCGAGAAAAGCACTCTCGTGTAGTTCTGTGTCATGTGGTTCCACTTGGTTTGGTTTTGCAAGAAAATAAATATTTATTAAGGAACAAGAGTACATCAAAAGATGACAAGACATCCTCAAAGACACAAAGGTATTGGAAACCAAATCTCTGGCCGATGTTCTTTAGAGTGAATTCTATATTTTCTCATCAAGCTCTAAAAACCTTAGGATTTAACATCACATGTCCAAGACCTCCGCAACTAGTCACGTTAACATGTTAAATGAAAGCGGAAATGAGAAAATACATCACAAATTTATACTCATACCAATTGCAAGGTAGAGAAGCTTCCTCGGACGAACCAATGAATAGAGATGGTCAATGTAATCAAATATCAATTTGAACACATCATCATAGGTAGCAGGTGCCGGCTGCATTTGAAGATATACCAATGTAAGTTCACCAAAACTACTTAGCAACAATATAATGCCTAATTGAATTTAATTAAGAAAATCCGCAGCTGAACTTCAAACGTGAAGTTGAAACGGAACTTCTTAATGCTATGCTATGTTTGTTTAAAGTGAAAAATAAAAAACGATGAACTAACCTTGCCGTCAGGGTGAAAACAAGGGTGAATGATACCGTTCATGTCCAAGTACAAGTTGTCGAACTCCATGCCGTTGGGATTAGGTTTAGACGCGTCGATAGGCAACGGGACGCCGTCGTCGCCGACGGCGGCGTCTTCCTCGACTACATCGGCGACGGAGAGAGGGTAGCGGTCCGCGAGCCACCGGTAAAACGCCGGCACTCCCATGGTCAGGGCTCAGCTCGGTTCGGAGACGACGGAAAGAGAGAAGAAAGTTTTGGATCTGTGTCGCTCAGAGTTTGAAATGCAGGAGCAAGTGTTGCGTGCTCATTCGATCACAGACATCAATAGTCAAACCAAGTTATCCAAATTAATTTGTATTAGTTCGGACAATTAATTTGATTCTTCTATATCTATAATGTATTAAGAGAAAAATTTAATTGTCCCTATAAAAGATTTTGCACGCAGATATCATTCTAATTTCTTAACATGATTTTTATGCACTCTTCATAAATAAAAATAGAAATACCATGACTAGGATTTAATTTTTTTAAGATACATTGGGATTTTAGTTTGCACGATTAATCAGATATGTTTTTATCATGAAGAAATACAATAATATATATATATATATATCTAAAAAATTATTGAAAAAATATTTTTTTTAAATAAATGAATTATAAATTATTTTAAATTTATGATAGGTAATTATATTACAATAAAAATTTATTTTAAAAATAGATAATTTTTAAAATATATTTAAATCCTCCTACGTTGATAATAGGCTCAAAACTTTTATCTTAGTAATTGTAAGACTCGTATGACATCAGACATCAACTTAGTACTTTTCTGTTTAATTTGTGTCTGTATTAAAATAATATTTGATCAACAAAAGACATATTTTATAAACATAAATTTGTTATCTTTAAAATATTGTGTGGATCAATTTTTAAAATTGGGCCAATCACTGAATCAGTTTTGACATTAATTTAAGGTGTTCAATGCTTCAATCATAATTAAACGATGATCAAACTGGTATAATAAAATAATAATAATATTATTATTATCAATACAAAAATAATATAAACAAATATAATATCATAATTTTATAATATTAAATCTTAAAATAAAATGTTATTTATAAATTTTTAACATTTAACGTGATATAATATTTAAGTTCTAAATAAAATATAATATAATATTTTAAATATAAATTTTAAAATTATACTACCCTGGCTCAAGGCCGAGCTCAACCGAGTTCATTAGACAATCTTGACCGAGGTGACTATTTAGTCAAACTAAAGTATACGTTTAACGCTGAGGTGTCACATGAAATAAGGGAGATTGGTAATACACCTCGACAACCTCGGCATATTAACAACATTGAACATGACTTAACCGAGAAGAATTCTCGGAAGATAACCATACAGCAGTTACACCACGGTTACACGGGAAACCACGATAGGTAATAATATAAGCAATATACAATATTGAGGAGGCAACTAACTTGATCGTCGGAGTCCTTTTTGCAGGTACATCCGAGACACCCCAGAACAAGGAGACCGGAGAGAGGGAATTCAGCCTATTAATCGACCTCATACAACCTTGGTAAGACTCAGCAAGCAAGACGACTTATCCGAGTTAGGGAGACGACCTGATTCGTGTAAGTACATTTGGCGCTAGAAGGAGGGCCTGATAAAACCTTTCTCCTCCTTCATCCTTATGGTTTCAACCCGAAGTCAGACCAATAGAGCAACGAGTCCACTACGTTCAAGCGCATCAAACATGGAAGACAACCCAACTTTGCGACGGTTACTTGAGCAGATAGAGTTGATGCGACAGCAACATGCAGAAGCAATGGAAAGTCTTCGTAAGCAACATGAGGCCGATCTCCAACAAATGCGTGCTAAGCACGCTGCTTTTAGAACTCAATGGCAACACCATCAACCACCACACCATGCCAGCCATGTTTCCCCTTCCACTGAGGAACATCATTCTTCCCCAAATCCCACCTATCCAACTCGGTCTCATCGCTCTGAGCAGACCCATATTAGTCGTCCAGTCGATGATCGTCACTCGGTTTGTCGACATCCTTTTATCGATGGAATCATGGAAGTTCCTCTTCCACCCACCTGGAAACCGTTAAACATTGAGCGATATGATGGCCCCTCAGACCCAGATGAGCACATCGATGCATACATCACTCAAATCAACCTCTACACAAATGAGGACGCCATCATGTGCCGTGTGTTCCCCACCTCCCTTAAAGGTGCCGCCCTTAGTTGGTATACCCAATTGCCACCCAGATCGGTTGACAACTTCAACACTTTAGTGCGCCTTTTCTCCGCCCAATACGCCACCAGTAGACCTCATCACATCACATCGGTCGCGCTTTCAAATCTACGACAACAGGATGACGAATCTTTACGGCATTTCATGGAGCGTTTTGCCAACGTCTCTATCAAAATCCGCAACCTAAATCCTGAGGTTGCCCTTCATTCCATGCTTATGGCACTTAAACCCGGGCCTTTTGTTGACAGCCTCTGTCGACACCAACCGGCAAGCATGGATGAACTCAGAGCACGTGCTGCTGGGTATATTCAAATGGAGGAACACGCTGAGTTCCGTAACTCGGTCCGTGACAGTATCACTACCAGGGGCGAGTCCAGCAGTAAGGAGAAGCCAAAGAACGACTTCGATCAAAGATCTAAGAGACCTTGTCAAGCACGAGGTCCCAGGTATGATTTTTATACACCTCTTAATGCTCCTCGAGTTAACATTTTAGAGGAAGCTAACCATGCAGATATGATATCCTTACCTCCCCCGGCACACAACTCGGCCAATGCCGACAAGAGCAAGCATTGTCGATACCACAGAAATCATGGACACACTTTGTTAAAAAAGGGGGCGCTGTAGCCTACCACATCACTATATTTCTATTTTTTAAAAAAAATTATTAAATAATTTGTTTTTTACCACTTTTTAATTATTAAAAATAAATGTTTTTTTATATATGTGGCTTTAGGCTACAGCGACTTTATTCTAGCTGTTTTGTGGCGCTGTAGGCTGTAGCGACACTATTAATATGGCTTTCTTGAAGTGTAAAAAAAGCTACGTGGCAACGGTGTCGCTATGACCCATAGCAACACCGTTGTAAACAGTCCCAAAGGCGTAAATAAATTCAAAACAGCCCTATTTACATAAATAACTTGGTCAACGACCCCACTTTGGTCAAAAAGCCTGAAAGAGATGAAAAGTTGGAGAAAAAAAATCACTAAAAATATTTACATTGAAAAAAGCAATTAAAACACTCATGTTAAAAATAGTTTCTAATAATACTCATTTAACTTATGTGAGACTCAATAAATAATTTCAACTCTTAAATATGTTGATTGTGTTAACTCATTTAACTCGTATTAAATTTAAAAGATAAAATAAAAAAAATTCTCTAAATTTAAGATATAAAAAATATATTTAAATTAAAAAAAATAGAATTGTTTAATAATGAAGGAACAACTCAACGGTAGTTGATGTGATGACAATGAACACATTAAGACTGCATCTTTAATAAAATAAAATAAAAGTAAAATTTAAACATTAATAATTATGAATCATTTGAGTCGTTGGTGAAAGAGT